CAACTTTATCCCCCTGGGGTCGTTGGCACATAATACCGAGGAGTTTCAAATGTGAAAACTGATCCCGAATGATTAGTTTAGCATGAACGTATTCAGTTCTTCCATTTACCTTATCCGTTATCAATATTTTGAAAACATCATTATTTAGAATTCTATTTTTTGAACTTTATGAATACTGGGTGAAGACTGGAAGTGAAGTGAAAATCTGGGCCACATCAAGAATCGGGGTTTCCAGCCCTTCAGTCAGCAGTCAGGTTATGTAGTTCAATTGGTAGAGCACTAAGCAGAAAAACCGGTAGTAGGTGGTTTAAATCTTTCTGCGACTCAGATTTTTATTTCACCTTCAACCATCATCCAGTATCAATAATACGAGTCTGTCAAACCGCGGTTATCTCAGATAGTCAAACTGATAGTCTATGAATATTTAAAAAAAACGTGTATCACATATTCTCACTATGCAACTTAACATACATGAGAAACTATTTGACAATGGATGAAAGAAAACTCTTGAAAATATGTTGATTTTTAGAATATAAAATTTGTCCATTTTAGATGTTGTCGAATAACTGTGCTACACAAATGACATTTTAAGAATAAAAATCCTAATTCTCTTCACTTTGAATCATAAGTTTAACTATGGTATTTTAAACAAATTTGAACCGGTTGAATTTTCATTTTTGTTTTATAGTAACGTAACTGGACATTTTTGTTTTAATTATGAAGCCTAGATTCAAGCGAGTCTTTCACTTTAAGCCTGTCATACTTGATATCGAAAACCTTATCTCCAAGTGATAGGCTTCTGTTCCCCGAAAAAATTCACTACTTATATTCCTTCTAATTTCTCGTGAATACTGAATACTATTCATTTTCTAACTTTGAAAAATGACTCATTTCTCGTGGTAAAATGTTTGAACCTCAGTTCCTCTCAAATTTTCCAATTCAGTCGAGTAGCGATGATAGATGTCACAATATTGTGAGTCAGTTTTTCCAGAAGGAAATGTCTTATACAGTTAGCTAGACCATTCAAAAAATATGGGACTACAAGAAGGCCTTTGAACAAAACTTATTGGTACAGGAACATATTAGTACCTTCCACGTTCACTACTTTTCGATTTACATTTTTGTCTAAAAAGTTCTTTTCAGGTTCCTCTTTGATGCTATCACTGGATGTCATTCTCTATAGCAATTAAATGTGTTGATGCTAATAAACTGTTGAGAAGTAAGTGTTTACAACTATTAAACTGAAAAGAAAACGAGTGTTGAATGTTGGGAGTCAATCGAAAAGCAATTCTACTTAGTTTAGGTTTTGAGGTTTTTGGCACTCATCAGAAAAGCTCACCTGAAGTCAAGTAAAAACCGGTGTTCTTTTGGTAATCCATACCTACCTTATTCAATATCCAATTTAGGGAGTTCAGCATGAGACTACTAAGACTATGACTGACCTCGTGTAGAACTAGATTATATAGATGATTTATGCTTCAACATCTAGTCAAAGGCTAAACAATTACTGAAGAGAGCAATCCCTGTCGATCTGCAGCTGTGTGAGGGATCTATTTCCAGAACAATGCATAACCACATATCTATAGGTAGACATGTCAGTATTGAGATATGAATCAAAATATTTGCAACCACTTGTCAACAGTTTACTGCGATTTCGATGAGCAGAGTCTAAACATACACTTCTAAAACTTCAAGCACCGACTTTTTGTTATCATGATCTCTTCGATTTCTTAACTAGGAAGAAACGTGAGGCTGCAATCGTTTTTTAGTGTTTGGCGTACAGCTGAAAACATGGTCATGGGCATGGTTGCATAGAGTTGACTAGAATTCAAACGCAAAAGAAATTGAAAGAATTAGAAAACTGTAGACATAGGAATCTAATCCATCGACTGAATGGCTGACGCATTTGCTACCAGACGTGAAGGTCGTGAGTCATATCCCTGACGACACTATGATTGCTTACTGCTGAGCAGTCCCCTAATAGAACGAAATGGCTGTCCAGTGCTCTCAGGTTTTCAATGGTTATTCAATTGATGTCAGTCTGTGGTGAATACTACTTTGAAAGCGAAGATTGACAGTTTTATCTCGATGATCTGCTGCAAGATTCTGTGATCTGATATGAAAAATTTCATTACGCCACTGATTTATTGATGACAATTATCTTGTCAACAACTTTTATTCCTGATGATTTAAGCTAGTTGGTCAAGTACAACAGGATAAATCACTCTGGTCAAGGCCTCTCACATAAACCCATTATTCCTAACCAATAAAATTAGAATTTTTTCGATAAACGGTTTAGCACTTCATTTTTAAACCTCAATAGTTTGTCAGAAGTTCATTTTTGTGTTGGGGAAATGAACAATGAACTTATGGTGAATTTGTACGCTTCTGTTGTTCATGGTGCCCCTAGTGCATATCCGGCATCGATACTGACAATGAGAAAATGTTATTTTCTTTCTATTAAGCTAAATATTGTCTGCAGTTGTATAAAATTTCCTTCTCACTTAGATCCAGTGGCTAACGCTCAGGTGTTTCAAGCGATCGGCCCCAAGTTCGAGTCCAGATGATAATAACATCGCTCACCAAAAAGCAGACACATTCAGCTGACGAGTCCCAAATTGGGCGAAACGTGCGTACTGGATTCCAACACTAGCCACTATCTATGATTGTTGCAATATAAATTTGTCTACAGCATTATCAATTCAACCAATATTTAGATGTTACGTTTTTACCTGTGGTGTAAGATTATTCGTTCATGAGTATGTTATTGAAACAGGTAGCAACAATTTATATAATGATCAATGAATAAGGACCTGGAAACATTAGAAAACATATGTAGTATAAAATGCCAAACATGTCTGACCGTGTATTTCTTTCATGCTACCTCTGCTTACACAGACACATACACACGATAGATAGTGTTGGTCATTGGGACAGGTGTTCGAGAGCAGAAAATTTAAAGATCTCTGGAACCTGAATATATTTTAAACAGGCCAACTACTTGTTAATTGCTAAAGCGCACTGTAAATTAAATATTATTATTTTATTTGTCGATACTTCTAATTCTCTGTTGTTACACTGGAACAAAATGACTGACCTCTGTTGGCAGATGTTTCAATGCTGCCCGAATATTCCCTATATTGTAATCTATTTTGTATCTACTAGTGGAATCCAGGGTGCACGTTTCCTCCTATTTGAGACTCGTTAGCTGAATGTGCTTGCATTCCAGTGAGCATTGTTGCTTCAGATGCGAATCGTGCCTCAACAGCCTAATGTACAACTCTTCGACGTCTGAAGATATGGGTTCGGTGTTCTAAATTGGAACAACACTCAATAGGATACCGGTACATCCAGTCGAGGAGTATTAAACAGGACGAAACAAACGTCCTTGATTTAACTACCAGCATAAGCAAGTCAATTATTTTTGTCTTCTATGAATCAGGTTTGTCAATATTCAGGCAGAGGTTTGATTTCACCTAATAAGAAGAAATAAGGTTGATGAAACAGCAGGATTAATCACTAACTGATATTTTACCTCGAAAGACTTGAATTCACATACTTTTTAAAACGCTTTTTTTTTAAAAGATATAGTGATCATAACTATGGTCACTGATGGAGTCAGTCATGGGAAACTGTTCTTTACACACTTCTCGGTTTTAGACTGATCAGTTACAAATCCCGAACCTTCGCCTACATCGAAGTACATAGCTAGGGGGGTTGAATGGGTTGGAAGATTATCCAGGGTGCCTACACCAAGACGTGGTATCAGCCGGTTAATTCACTAACTGTTGGTTTAAGTTACGTAAGGAGATATGAAGTGCCTTGTTAGGGTCCTGGAAAACACATGGATTATTGGTTGAGGACTGTTAGTGAAATGCTTGAAAATGTGTCATTATGGTGCAGATGTATTCATTCCTTGACATCTTCTAAAACTCGAATATTTGCGCTAACCTTTACCTCATAATTGTTTATTCTGTCGTCCAACTTTAATCACTGTGGTTTCACTCTTATTCTATCCACTTATTTTCGTGTACTACTGTGAAGTGTAGCGTCTTGAGCCGATGCACCTGTGTGTGAGGTTCCACATTGATTTTGTTGTCTGTCGCTTTCTTCTCATTTTATTACAATGAAGAAATAAGTTACTAGAAGTGTACCTAGATGCTATAATAAAGAGATCGGTAGCTGAGTCAATATGGAATGCTTCATAAAAGTGACTGAACAGTTGTAAGATTCTGCAATAACGAAGTCTTCTACAATATTTGGGAATCGTGGAATATTGGAGTAAATTTCGAAATAAATCATAAGCAGAATAATGTTGAAAATGATTCCTGATAAGATCAGATTCATTTCTACAAACTGTCTCATGTTTAGCACAATACATCCTGACGGAACTCAAGACATTTAGGAGGGTGTCAGTGTTTGAAGCATCATACTAACAATAATAATACAATAATAACAATAGTAGTAGTGATGGATATCCATCATTACTATAGTTATAACGCAGGTAACATCGAGGCATTCGCGCAGGAGACCATATGTCAAAATACAGACCAATCGATTCGGTCGAATCAACGAGGGTATAATACAAGCAATAATACTAAAACTATACCTGTCCCCAAGAAGTAGTTATCTTGGCTCGGTGGTCTAGTGGATAACGCTCTGGCGTTTAAAGCGATCGGTACCGAGTCCGAATCCCGGTGGGAACAACATCACTCACTGAGAGACAGGTACTCCCAGCTGACGAGTCTGAAACAGGATGAGATGCTCATCTTAGATCCCACTGCTAGCCACTATCCGTCATTACTATAATTAGAACACAGTTAATGTCGAGGCATGCACATAGGAACCCATATACCAATAGAGACTGGTCAATTCGGTCCAATCAACGACGTTATAATACAAGCAGTAATACTACTACGCTTCCATTAATTTGTGCTAATATAAAAACTCATTTATGATATAAAATATTGAGAGAAATAACGTTTTTAAAAACAACTTACAATTGCACAAACTGGATAACCCAAATCAGAGAATTTCTCTCCACATTTCACAATTTCTTGTTGACGCTTTCGAATACCATGTAAAATTGATCTGGTTGTTCTAACTGTATCTTTTATTTCTGTGTGATGATCAATATTTTCATTTTCTTTATTATCCATCATGGATAATTTCTGTGTTGCCCTCCATTTCACTGAACGTCTAAATCTGAAACTTCTTCTTAACATTTGTGACTTGATGAACTCTTCAGTCCGACTACGATGAACAGCATTTAAGCGGAGAGGATTTAGAGCCCATTCAGGTGTAATACAGTATCCACGTATATGACCTTCTGCACTGATAACCTGAAATATTGAACAGAAGGTATATCAGCTAATGTGTTATACTAAATAAATAGAGATTTCAGTTCTTGCTAATTACAGCTGATTTGGTTACTCTTGAAGCAAGATGAATTCTTGTGAAGTTTTGACTGGATAATTCCAAAAATATTAGGTAACAAGTGATTCCAAAGACATCATTTTGGGCATTAGTTTTCCCATAACTAACTGCCTAACCCTAAAGCTAAACAGCAGATTAACACCTGAACTTAATGTAGTTTAAGCTACTCAACTTATAACACTACAGACCAGCAGTAGAAATCATCAGAGTAAGCATTATTATGAGCAATAATAAACCCTATGGCTATCGATTTAAGTTGTCATCGAAATCCCGGCCACCATTTCTTTGTACGATCATGATAAACGGCCAGTGACGTCATAGACTGAAGCCATATTTTAGCCAGGTTATACATAACTTTTTCGTAGCTCGAAAACATTTCAGCCAACATTGCATGATGGTGTATAAGCTGACTAAGAATGCTCAATACACTTCCCGAACACCCTTAGGTAAACGGAGGTTCACAGCCTTGCTGACTCACTCACTCGTTTACCACAAGACTGTGTGTATAGCTTTTACGTTAATAACGTATTCGCTTCACTACACATGGTCTATGCTATGAAGGTAGAGATAGTCGACCCCTGAGGCTTTCTGATGTTCTCCACCTTTAGTAGTCATTTTCCACAGCTATGGAGTAGGACAGAGAGAGCTGCTACTCAGCACGAGTAATTAGTTAGCAGCCAGTGATCACGGCAGCGCCACGGATGACATACGCTGGTGAAAGTTAGTCGAGTACCTTTCCTTGCGTACAGACACTTCGTATATCACTGACCTACTGGGATTGACGTAACTTTTTATGTAAGTGCAAAAGCATCAACTCAGACCAGTCCTAGAGCAAAAATGTGTATTTTTGTGATGCGAAATGCATCCTAAACATTGTCAATTGGTTTGCAAGTTCTCTGCAGTACTCTTCTTCAGTAAAACAAGGCAGAGTGAAATGAGTTCAGACTAATATTGAACACCTACATTACACAGATCTAAGACTTAAGGTCAACCATCTTTTTCATGTTTCATCGTTCTTCAGATACATAGCACCCTACTACTGTGTAATTCTGTGCTGTATATCCGACATGTGATGCACAGCAACATGAAATCCTTCACTTTGTAACCACACTGCAATCCATAAAATTCGGTCAATATTGAAGACTTGTTAGTATGCTATGAGTTACTCTGTAGTAAAAGATTCTATACTTTTACCACTCATTATGGTGGTCAATTACACCTCACTTAGCTTGATGCCGATTTGTCTAAGTAGAATATTATTTAATCCTAGTCCGAGTTTCGACTGGCTTCAGGCTTTAAGTTCCATATTAGATTTGTTTATCTGATTTATAACACACAGTGATACAGTATTATTTACTTGATAATGACGTTGAGCTATAAATTATTGCTCATAATCATATCAGTGTAATAACATTACTTCCAATATCTGATTTTTATTGTTCTGTCACCTCTTATTCTTTCTTTTGTTGGTAGCAAGATTTTCCGTATTTCTGGCTTAGGTATTGTGTCATCCCTATTACATATGCCTGGTGCTGGTTCGATAAGCGAAGATTCGTTACCAACCTCTTTCCCCACCTAATTATATTGGACTTGAATACAATGATTTTATCCCACCCAGCCTATTGTGTGGTTGTGTATTAATGCATGCATTGGAATAGCCTAAGTCTTTTTTCTGGATGACTGACCTTTTTGGTGTATGTCGTTTTATATTTGGCTAAATCCCTATGTTCCGACCGGTTAGTTTGGCCTATGTATTTGACCTCACAGTCATTGCATGGAATTTGATAGACTAGATTGTTTCACTTAATTGATTCTGTCAGATCCATAAGCCGACAATGCTTACCTCTGAGTGAATTTGTAGGTTTAAATGCCACCCTAATTTCAGCCTTGTTGAGGACTCTACAAAAAGTTGATGATCCACTTTCCTTGTAAGTAACACAATGGAGGTTGTGAACTCCTTTCTACTTGTGTTGTCGTTATTATTCGTACTAGGTTACTGTTATTATTTCATTTCTCTTGTGTTTGTACGAATTCTTTATAGATTGCAAAGGATAACTGTTATTTATTTGGGCTTCTTTTATGTGTTCTTCTTCCTTGCTTAGGTCCTTGCACTAATTAGCCAGTTTTCTAGCTCTATCATTTACACATTTGACTAATCTGCTTTGACTGACGTTGGATGATATCACTTGAAGTCTAGATACCTGGTGGAATGTGTCGATTTTTTGTAGACCGTAGTATCTAAACTACCGTCTGTCGTCCGTTTTCACGTTTGCAGGTATCACTTGTGCCGGAAATTTGTTCAACAAATTTACTCAACAGTGAAGGATAGATAGCTTCTATTTAGCGCATTTATACCCATGCCGCCAAGAAATTGCCTAACTGTTTCAAAAAACAAAATTTCTGACCAGAAGACTTATGGAAAGGGATATCCAGTGTGGTTTATGAACCGTTGTAGAAATCAGGTAGCACCAAAGCCAACTCTACATATGGTTCATAAGCAAAGTGTCTTAATCACTCAAGCATACGAAGGAGAGTTGGACAGTATGTTTTTGAGATGCAGGCAAACATCAACCATTAGGAAAACATATTAAGTGACTAATCTCTTGATTGAGGAAAAAAACATACTGCATGAATGATCACATCACATCCCACTGCGTTTACCAGTTTACACCCATGTATTGTCACGCGTACATAAGAAGGAAAAATCGAGTTATGCGGTTGGGGGTGGAAGAAAATATATTTAAGTGGCTTCAAAAACAAATGGAGCTTAGAACTTTGATAAAGGCAGGTCAGAGAAGACCCTCTTCATCTATACCTAAATATATTTTGGAAACGGGTCACAAAATTAATGTTCAAACAGATTTCAAAGTTTTACATAGACAGCAGTCAGAGATGTATACTGAGATCTGCGGAAGCAATAACCATACATAAATTGAAAAAGTAAGTAATTGACTAGTTTCATAAGTTAACAGTTCCCGCCTATGACAAAGCGCTGTCGGTGAATAAACGAAATGATTATTTCATCATTGAACACTGTTCAAAGGCTCTGTTAGAAGTGAGGACACCGTGAGGTATTAAGCACAAATTGCGTGTGTAGTTTTTTATTGATTTATTTATTATGGTGCAGTCGAACGAAAAAAAATTAATTTCAGGATGAATGACTGTTGGTCTTCAGTTCTGGTTCGAAAAAATAGATTAAGCGAAACGGTATTAGAAAACAAACTGATTTATTAACTGTTCAACAATAACAATTCAACATACATCTGGTGACATATTTTCAAATCGTGGTGGTCCACCATCTTCTGCTTGATATCTAAGCCGATCGAGTAGATAAACTAAATGTTCACCTTCTCTTGTCTGAAGAGGAATTGTTAAATTCACCCAGAAGCTTTCAAGTGGTGATGGACCAGCATTTGTGACAAGATAAACATGTTTCAACTCTGGACCTATAGTTTCAGGGTGTATTCTTTGCATTTCATATGGTTGTACAGAGAAATTTCGAAAGTCTATAATTGTACGATCCAACGCAGATGATGATAACTTAGAAAGTTAATAAAAAATTGTTAGAGAAAAATGAGCAAACATTTGAAAAATTCAACGGAATTACTTGAAAATACTGGTCTGTTTGTCCTGTATCTAATGTTACCATAAAGTATTAACTGTCATGCTTACCTGTTTGAGTAGAGACGGTAATAAAAGTCCAGCCTACTACTTTGATCAGTAAATTTCAGGCTATCAACATTCCCTTTGATATGATTATCAGCGATAAACTCTGTTCGAAGCTTCAGCTAACGCATAGTACGTTATCACTACTTGTGCTATATCAAATAAATAATCTAATATGGAACTTTTAGAGTAAGGCAGAGTGGTTTCTAACTGGTTTACGTTTTACGGTGTTTGATGAAATGTTGACTGCTACATATTTTTCCTTCCTCATAAGATAAACAAACGTTTGTTGTTATTATACATTTATAGTAAACATGGTAAAAGTAATGATTTCTCACTTTTACCTTAATAGTTTTTCAAAAGTAAACTTTCTTCATGAAAAACTTAATTTAAACAGAAAGTTTCAAACTGATCTAACAAATTCTGCACAAAAAAACTCAGCAGGATACTAACTGTTTAAATCACGTTATTACTTGAAACAGTTTATTGTTGGTTGTTACTACTATGATCTCCTTAGAACTTATGAAACGTATACTTCAGTGATCTGATCTAAAGTATTGCCATCATCGGTTGAACCAACTTTATGGCTAGTTTACTTTCGCTGAAGTGTAGTTAAAAGATTCACTGATAATTTAAACACCAAGTGTTCATTACTTTTAATAAGTCTCAAGCTTATTTGAAGGGCTGTCATTCAACATTTGACGATATGCATAGGATTAATTACCAACAAGGCTTAGTGTAAACAACTTCTTCATACCTCAGTGAACTTCTACCGTCATGATTGACTAGAGTTGGACGTTAAGTATTACCTGTCAACAGATCTTACTATGTTGTAAGCTGTTATACCAGCTTAAGGGAAGAATGCATCATCTCTAGCCTGTAGTTAGAGATTATATTCATTTGTGTGAAAATTTCCAACCCCGACAATCATATGCACCAAAGGAAATTCATTTTTAAACGTTATGTGGATTACTAATTCTTCATATCATGTTTTTATGAAAGCATATAATTACATTTGTATTACTTTACTATACTAGGATTTACAAATAACTTATGATTTGATTGGAGTATGAACAACTTTTGAGTAATTACACATTTAAGTTTAAAACACTAGAAAAGGACTTGAAATGATTCGATTCCTATGGAATCAAGGTTGCTTTCTTCGTGGTTAACTATGTGCTAGTTCCAGAAAGGTACATATTTAGGCTTAATGTATCATATTTGGTGATAGTTTCTGATGGACGTTTTGTGCACTGAACGTTTACTCCTTGAACTAACTATTCATTCAAAAAATAACATCTTCCTTATATTTCGTCTAGCTATTTTGCTCTGTTGAAGTTTATTCCGAAAATGATTTATCACCAATAGTTTCTAATTTTTGAATTCCTCTTGACGACTATTAAACATGTACGATTGAAAATATGTCGGATTATGATGACACCTAGAAGTAGTGTTAAACAGATGGTGCGAAGAGTTTCCTTAATCTAGATATTCTGTTCATTAATTCCGAGGATGACCTCCATCAGAGAACTATTGAAAACATGAGCACTGGAGGATTATTTCATCCTTGTTTGCAACGATCTTATGAGGGACTGAGCTGAGGAATGTCAAACTTCATGATGAACATGTTGCTATTCAACAAGTGAACCAGAATCCAGAGGGTCAATATAGCTCACTTTAGTCGAATATTATTGGTAGTTGACCTGACAGGCTACAACTTCTCATTAAAAATTGGGAATGTTTATCTCAAACCAAGTCACTAATGATCCCTGAAGCGTACGCTTAAGGAGTTCATGATTAATATGAAACACCCGTTCAGTAATCTCAAGTTTTTCATGGTTCCCATGCTCAGTTCGTGATTGCAACTGCCTTGTGATCCAAATACTGCCTGAAATCATCAGGCACAAGTTTGATTTCACGACATTATAATCAAATACTTGATAAATCATCATAAATTACAAATACTGACTACCGAATGAGAGCTATTCGGCTGATAGAAGCATTTATGTCTCCATTTAAAATTTACACCTTGGTTTCCTTCATGCTTCATTTTCAGCAGAATATTTTATTTAAAGGAAATCAAGGTAATATAATGACCGTGATTAGGGATTCATAGCTAAAACAGGGGAAGCTGCCTGTCAGCGGTTGTTGCTGGGTTCCTGTTTTAATGGGTACAGTATAGCTCAGTGGGAGGCAGATACTTCCGGCTGACGAATCCCGAATAGGACGAAATGCACGTTCTGCATTCCACTGCTGGCTACTGTCACTCATTAGTATGTCAAAGTTGAAAACACAGGTAGTATCAAGGCAGCCGCACAGGATCCCATATGCTAATAGTCTCCGGTCAGCTCAACTGAATCATCGAAGGAGATTCACAAGCTAGAAAAATCAAAAAATTAATCGTGTTTATTTGTGGAGAATTCCACATCGGTTTCTAGTAGACTACCATTTCACAATAATTAAATCTTGCAGTGACTGGGAAAAACCTAGAGGACATAAAATGCATACACACATAGTCTGAAGCTAGCAGTTGATAGTTGAGGGATTCTATTACGCTTGTGCAGCCGAATCATTTTATAGCCTGTTCACTAAATATCCAGCCACCTATGGACTAGTTATGTGAGTCAAAGTACTTACTTTGATAAATAACCCAATTATAACGGTATATCACAACCCTAGACTAGATTTGCATATTATGATGAGAACAACAAAAGGTTGATGCTCTTTGTATTTATTTATCATTTTGAATTGCATATTCCAAGGCTAAGCGGTTGAATGCTCATTCAATGAAGGGAGTTACATTGTTAATTCGTATAACTGTTCAAGTACGGGTGTGGATGTGAAGAGTGTTTTTCTTACCGCTTAATGAGCAATTCCAATTCAACTTTCCTGCTTACAATATCAACACAGAATACCTGAAACTACACAGACTGATTGTAACCAGCTAGAAATGAGCTACATGTAAGTGCACTGTAAGCACACCGTAAGCGCTTGTTTTCCCCAAAGTGACTCAATAGAAACTTGAAGTCAAACGTAACGACCAGCCATCAGATCCCTTTCACCCATTGTCTGGTAACCTATAAGAATGACGGAAATTCTGTCGGAATATCAATGTAGACTATGGTGCTTCTATATGTACTGAATGAAGTAACTGTTCATGAAATTTGACAGAATATCGAGATTATAATGTTCAAACGAAAAGAATATTGACTAGTAATTCAAAAAGGTTTCATAAAAGTTCACTATGTACTCATATTTATGCATATAAATTACTACTAAGTACTTTCTTTTCCAATATTGTACTTATCGGGAACCAACATTATTTAACAGTGGAGACAAGTGACTGTGATTGACAATAAAGTCTTTTCGTCCAATCAAATCTCACTCCTTTGCTTGTAGTCTCGAGAGACAATAATAATGAATTCATTTTGAGATGAATGGGGATTTTTAATTTAGAGGTAGTATTCATCATGGATTGACATCAGATGGGAAACCATTGGAAATCTGGGAGAATTGGACATCTGTTTCAACATGTGGATGGGTCTCCTTGCCAATACGCACTCAGTAGAAGAATGGTTAACGAGTTCGCAGTGAAACCCGCAGATCCTGAGTTCAAACCCTAGCTGGGTCGTGGATGCGTACTGTTGAGGAGTCCCATACTAGGACGAAACAGCTGTCCGGTCCTCCTAGATTTTCAGTGGTTCCCCAACTGATGTCAGTCCATGGTGAATACTATCTTTTAATTAAAATTCCCCATTCATCTGAAAAATACATTACTGTATAGTGCTCATTAGTGATGGATATCATGAAGCTCTAATTAGAAGCCCTGACCTGTGGGTCAACTAGTCGGAGGTGAAGCAGATGCAAACTGAAGACCTCGCCTTATATCGTGAATTGACAGAAGTTGGAAGTTGTGAACTACTGAAAACCGACCCATTGGCTGAATGGTTAGGACACTAGCCGTGAAATCTGAAGGTCTTGAGTTCGATCCCTAGTCGGCTCGTGGATGTGTATTGCCAAAGAGTCCCATACTAGAACGAGATAATTGTCCACTGCTCTCACATTTCCAAAGGTTCCCCAACTGATGTTAGTCCGTGATGAATACTACCTCTAAGTAATGAATACATTAGACAGTGAATTATGGCTCCAAGTAGTACGTCTATCTAATGACTGCTGCAACAGATATCGCTTCCTCATAGATTTAATTTTAATTATCTTTCTTAAATCATTCACTTAAAACTTTTCTTTTAATCATATGCAATTTTATAGGGCTGAAAGGAGAAACTTTTAAAGATCTGAAAACTAACTCTCTTTATCATGAAAAAGGTGATAATAAAGTTTATTATAGTTTCAGGCTTATAGGGATTATATTTTTAAGGTAGTATTTATCACGGTGTAATATCACTTGTAATCCCACTGAAAACATGCCAATACTGAGCAAGCGTTTCTTCTTAGTATGGTACTCTTCAGTAGTACGCACTCATGACATTACAAAGGATCAAACACAGGACTTTCAGGTTTCATGGTGGATATGTCAACTGTTCAGCCAATGGGTAGGAGTTTCATAGTCCACTTTTTCCTACTTCTGTCATTTCGTGATATACCGCGACTATCCATCAAGGTTTTCAGTTGACATCCGCTTCACTTACAACCAGTTAACCCCAGAGGTCACGGCTTCCCAGGTAGGAGTAGGAAACTGTGGACTACTGAACTCTGAAGTAGTGACTCAATGGTTAACATGTTCACCATGAAACTCGAAGGTCCTTGTTTAGATCTCTGATGAGGTCTTGGGGGCGTACTAACAAGATGTCGGTTAAATGAGCACTTGATAATCATTTAAGCGAAGGTAGTTGTTTACAAATTATGTACAGAAATTAAAAAACTTCAATAGAAAGAATGTACAATTCAGCGTCCATGTCTATTTTTGAACCATAAAAAGCCATTTTTGGGCTAATAAGAAACTTTACTTCAAAATTAAATTCATGAGTTGGAAAGTTTTCTTCAAACAAGTTAGTTGTAGGCATTAGTCAACATCATCATAAACTGCTATAGTTCACTTTAAATGAGGAGGTCAAAAATGTTGTACATGGGATTTTAGCACTTCCGTAAATTCACTTACAAAACCAATAAGATTGAAATCTCTGTCATCACATTTGAAATGAGTCATTGTAACCGGTGTGTAAAATAACCAAGCCTTATTCCTAACTAAACATCTTTGTATAGAACAAAAGGTGATCCCAATCACATAATCTACTGAAACATATTCATTTTATTGACCCAAAATCTGCATAAATTAGCTTTCAATACCTATTGATAAAAAGTGTATAAAAGTATTATTCAAGCTTACTTCAACCTTTGCTGCCAATTTCAATTTGTAGGTGATACTGGCTATATTGTTATCTACATTGATATCAGCATTCCCGCTAAGGACTTCAGCTGTTATTGTCACTTCTTTAGGAATTGATGGAGTACTACGCTTCATTCTTTTATTATAATGATGGTCATATGGTTTGTAGAAAGGCAATGAGTTTAATTCATAATGGTTTTCTCTCCACACTGATGATGATGATGACGGTAGAGATGTACTGAAATCACTTATTTGTCTAGTTTGTTCTTCGTCTGGACTTGTTTGTGAATCTCTCATATCGTCTTCTCTGTCAACATCATTAGACTGTTGTTGTTTATGATGATGATTTAATGACACATTTTCTGGTTGATCATTTAACGGTTCATCCAACTGCCGAAATGCTCCAGCGGTATTAATTTGAAATGTGAATGAGTATACATCTACATTTCCTGTATACCCTAATGGGTCACCCAAATTACACAATAACTGTGTTTGCTACAATAAAAAGGGAACAAGACAGTTATAAAATTCAACTTCATATATAAAACATGTTAGTGAGATGGAGGCATCAGAAAGGAAACCCTGGACCTGGGTTTCGTGCTTGCGAGCACTCGTCAACAAGGCCTATCCCTAACCTCGAAGAAACTGATGTCCCGCCTGAGATTTGAACCCGCGCCATCCAGTACTGAAGTCAGAGACGTTTTCACTGGGCTTCTATGCGTATATGTATTTAACTGATACCAGTTCGTTTAAAATATCCTTCAGAAATCTAAAAAAATGAGTTTGAACAAAAAGACCTGATTGGGCATCCAGTGTGGTTACGATGAACGAACAGTGAAATATCACAGATTCACAGAACAATCAGGCAAAACTCTTGGTGATTTCAGTGAAGCTGTGGCTTGCTTAGTGACTGGATCTCGTCGCTTACTTGTTAGAACACTAGGTCGGTAACGCAGAGGATGGACGCCGTTTTGATTCCTGCACTGACTCAGATTTTTATTTCACTTTCAATTACCACTCCCCATCAATGAATATCACTCTGAAGAAACCACAACAGTATGCCTTATTGAATTTTATACTATAATGATTTGTTTTATCATACTAAAGTTTGGTGTTTACATCATATATTTGTTTCAGTGTAAATTGAAACTTTAAAATGTGGTAATTTTTAATCGGACAAGAAGACTTCTTGTTTTAAACACCAGTAATGTTAAATTTATATTTGATGGTGGGGAATCCTACAAAAGATATAAAGACAATGTAATAATCATATGTAGAAGCTGGTAGGTGTTATTTCTATCCTCACTCAAATGAATGAAACTCAAAGTAGTATTTCCCTAACAAGTAAAAAATAAAAAGATGGTTGCAACCTTTTTAGATGTTCGCATAACCCTCTGGTAAGATGGGTTATTAAACAGAACAATCTACAACAAATTTATGTGGACAGGACAGCACTTAAATTACCGTAGTTTCTGTCTACATCATCACAAATGAGAGCTAATAAAATGTCTATCTAGCCATATTCAAAGAATACGCATAAATGACACTTTAGAGGAGGAAACATGAAATCTAGTCAAAGTACTATTTGACAACAGTTATCACCGAAAATGTATTATTGAAGTAGAAATGCCGCATATAGAAGATCCGTTGTTTACTCGGTTCCATAGAAAGATGTCTGTCACTATGTCAAATATGGGTGACTTACAGGGACTGAAAACCAGACAGAGACTTAAGGCAGTCATCCGGAGATCGCATCATCCAGCAAAGGTTAACATCATGTAGAAATCCAAACCTGAGTACTCCTGGAAATCACCGGAGGACTTGAACGAAAATGTTACATCTAGTTGCTTTTCTCAGTTTAGATGTACATCTTACCACATATACGAAGAAAGGACCCGTTGATCGATGCAAGCGAGTCCCATAAGAAAAATTCCAAAATGGACCCAAATTAAAATCAAGTCGAATCATCTTCTTGACCCATGCTACAGATGTTCAACTTCCTCAATACCTAAACATATCATTGAAACAAGTCACAAGGTTTATTTGTATGCATCTTTCCAACCTGCTCACAAAAGAAGCTGGCTACAGATACTTAGATTTGTTGAAGATCTGGTAATGAGGAAGTGTAGACCTCTCATATGTATTCAAAAGCAATTTAATTCCACCTAAGACCTCCCTTGATAACTCAACTTTAATATCGACGGTGATTAATGTAATACACATCATCTTTCCAATTATCCATTTGACCCTTTATTATGCATTGACATTTTCCCAACCTATTTATCCTTTGTTATTCTTTCTATAAGTATGCCTGGCAAGTGAGTGTGTGATGAGATTGTTCGAAGTGCATTGCGCTAGTACTTTCAAGGTTTCAGATATACTACGTCTTCCTACAAAAATAATAATATTTTGTTTAGTGTAGATGTGATAAGTTGAAACGATCGATGAAGTGTTAGTTATTGACAGGAGTCAAGTTTTTGTTTCTTGATTATCAAACATCCTGACGATCACAAAACAGTCTATGAATAGTTTGTGATATACCAGCTAGCTTTTGATCGAAAACTCGTCGTTTACGTGAAAGAGGGCATTCATCGAGATTAGGTTATTAGAGCAGCCTTAATGTCTGTTTATTCTGATGTTTGGCTGGAAGATTCGAGAGACAGAGTTTAGTCTTTACTCTGCATGTATTTCAGAGTCATTTAATTAAATATTTCTTTTTTACTTCTACATGATTACAGATTATCGCGAGCGTTACATGGCTCGAGAACAAACTCTGTGGAGTTTTTAAACCCTACTGAAAAACCTGTTCCTCCCTTTTATCTGATCTGACTAAATACTTTTCAACTGATGGGCCCTAAATAGGAAAAGTTGCACATTCTGGATTCCGTTGCCAACCACTGTGCATCACCAATATAAAATGGAAACGCAAGCAATATTGAGGTATTCGCGCTCGAGCCTATATGCCAACAGAGTCTGATCGAATTCGGTTCAATCAACAACGGGATAATACAAGTAACGATATTAAGCACTGGATATTTGTCGACTTTTTAAACTGGTGTCTCTGAGTTGGTTAACCTGACATGCAATTAACCATCTCAGACAACTGATTTAGCCTCTACATCTTACAGCTCAATTGCACAAACATTACTAGTATAACCCTCATCTTCTTCTCTACACCTAATGCTGAATACCACGGAATCGGAGAAAAGTGTACGTTATTGATGGAACATTTAATCCAACACATCAGTCATTTTCCTTAGCTAGAGTGCCTGCAGTCATTTAGATGATTGTTCATTTAGCTTCCATTCATTCCATTTTAACTGCCTTTGAAAAGAAATTGAATGCAAAACAATGAGATATAAATAATAAAGTGGTCTTAAGCTTATGGATAGTCACGCTTCATGGTAAAATGAGAGAAGTTAGAAACAGTGAACCATCGAACTCCAACATAGTGGTTGATCAGTTGACGCACTGGCCATAAGAGTTGAGGGCCCTAGGCTCCATCCCTGATGCTATCGTGGATGCATGTTGCTGAGGTGTCCCATACAGTGACAAAACAGCTGTCCATGGGTCCAAGACATTCAATGGCTTCCCTACCGATATCAGACCATGGCGACCACTACCTTATAAATATAAATAATGACCAAAACTTAGTGTGTGTATAAATTTGTGTGTGTGTGCGGCTGGGGGCAGACGTTTGCTGAAATGAGCTTTTTCTTCCTTTACTTCTCCATGTTCAACACATTCGAGTTGAATAGTATCTACCTGTTTGGTTCATACATTTAGTCTTGATAACCTATTTTTATACCAGGAATTGATAATTTTCGGTAGAAAATTTGTTTACTTACTAGTTTTAAGTACACAACACATTCAATGAGTCAACCGTTCAGGAGAGGACGAGAATTTCCTATACCTTGAGATCTGCTTTATACATTTAATTCTGTGTAAGCAATAAAATGAAAACAAGGCTAATTGATGCTTGAATGAGTCATTTGGAAGGGTGGAGTGAATCTATTTATTATATTGTATTTTTTTATCGTTGTTTTATGGCATCTTATCAATTATTTTCTTTGGAAATATTTAGCTAGGAGTTCGCCTAGATATTTGGTCAATCATCATCTTTTATTCGAAATGTGGAAATGTAGTTTGAATTTTCACAAAATAGGGAAATACTTTCGCAAAGTCTCTTTAAATTCGAGGCAGTAAAGCCATGAGAAGTTTTTCATAGCAATCCATAACCTTGAACGGTTAGAGGTAATGATTAAAACCATTGAACATTTAACGTGAAGTCTGAACGCACAAGCTTGGCTTATTCATGTGGATTCCGATGACTACTACTGTATATAGAAGACAAACTAATTAAGAATATTTCAGGTGTGAAGGGATGTGATAAACAATTGCATGGAACTACTTTTTGATTTTATCTTCCCTTCGCTTAACACAAAATTGATGATACAAAAATTCTACTACCACTAAATAGTCGATAGATAGCCGGTTCTAAAGAACGCAAACCAGACAAAAATTATATTGGGGAGATTTAATGACACTTCAAGGTGGTATTCATTGATGATTTATATCATTTAGAGAACCAATAAAACCTTAAAGCACTGGACAACTGTTTCGTCCTGGCACGGAATTCATCAACAGTAGGCCCGTGCGACTCAGTCAAATATTGAACCCAGGACATTCAGGCTCCACGACCAGCACTTTACTGTTGAGCCGCTCCTTCACAATTCCCTACTCCTTTTAACTTGCGACGCGGCACAACTATCATCCAGTGCCATCTATGTGTATTTTTGACCACACCTTATTCCTGAGGAGTCCCATACCAGGACGACACAGCTGCCGAGTGCAGATATGTTTTTAAAGTCTCTCCGGCTGATGTCATTTCATGTTGAACACCATCCTAAAACCAATGAATCCTCATGAAACTCTGGAATGAATTGATGACATTTATCCAGCAGTCGCCTTTAGCATCGAGGCAGTATGTAACAGCTGTGCCATTATTCCCGATTTTTAACTAATTAGGAAAACCAATAGAAAAATTAAAAGGAGTATGTGTCGGAAATCAACACTAGCCAGTTAGTTTACTTATTTTTTGAGATTCATGCCAATACAGTACAAAGGGTAGTAACTAAATTGCTTATTTCAGAGACTGATAGTTATGTATTCAGACGACACTACATGTACAGATAAGATTATCCGTGGTCGATCTGCTCAAAGCTCTTAGCTGAGTACATGAATTTGTCCTACACAAATATCAGAGTACCAACAGCTTCTAATAGATTGTAGTTGCTTAAACTGCAGCTTTAGGGTGACATTATCACTAAATTGTGATAGCCAAAGTAATCCTTTGAAAGAACAATCAGTACAGTTAATTTATCTGCGTATTCTATCTATAACAGACAGGTGTTGAATTCTGGAATCAAAGACAATCTTCAAGTGGGTTTAACAGAGTTTAACTTCTCTTGTGGAGCCAGTTACAGTAGGCCTACGATTAGGCCATCTGTATAGTCAAATAACCAAACATTTTTCATCTTCTTTGAGTGAAGATCTGACACAGTTAATATGTAGCTCCAAAATGTTACATGCGATTGGTACCAGACGTCGATTCGATACTGACAGTGTCATTAAATTCATTCATCACATTCCTTCTAACTTCATTGGTGCTTTATCATTTCATCCTTTAGTTAAAGTAGAAGCCACTGAGATCCATCTAAACAAGCCAGGTTTGTGCTTTTGAAAGAAATCCATGTACCCTCTTATTTATACTATGACCCTTTATATTACCTGTCTGTATAAAAAAGAGATCTGAAATGTTGTTAATTTTTAGGAGCAGTAAGCTTTTACCGATAAAATAATGGATCATCGGTTTAGAGAGATGAATTTCAGTTCGAGTTCTTCTCCACCTACCAAGATTTGGACATCCAAATATTATCCTTAATCCTAAAACTATAAGTGTGACTCATTGCCTAGTTCACCAATGTTCACATGATTGTCAGGTGCATTTCCATTCGATTTGATTCGATCAATAAAATTGGTGGAGAACCAATCATTTGGATTATCAATAATTGATAAGTTTTAGTAAAGTTTATTGCAAACCAGTCATCAGTCACTAATGTCCTCAACTTTAAATAGTTGAAAGGATTATTTCACTTTCAGGAAATAAAGCTGTTTATTTTGAATTTTTTTTTGGGTGACATTTGTATTGTTCACCAGGGAATTTTGCCGGATATATTTGACTCAAATTAGTCCTTAAGTAGGTTTTCGACTAGTTTATCCCTGAGAGAAACTCTTCTGTGAACACAAATAAGTAATCCCTATGCGGTAAAGTAGGTTTTTCAAGATGGTTGATTCACCTAACATCTTTATAACTAGACATTATGTGTAAGAACAGATTTGTTTATCTGTTCACTGGAAGTCTGCTAACAGTACAACTTTTGCTCTTAATTGCTTGAAAATACATGAGTTTTCCCTCCTCCTTGTACTGTGCTTCGTTTTACTCTGGTTTACAACAAGCTCTGATAGATTGTCCTATGACCTGGCACGAGACTTATGTCCTACCGGGAAACTAATAAAACTCTGTTGATTTAATATCATCTTTGAAGACAAATATATGTTGTTTTGAACCATAATTGTTATTATGATTATCTTAAATATGAGCAGAGAAAATCAAACTTACTCTAATTTCAATCAATGTTATAATCTGACATATCAATCCTTCTTGTATACTAAAACTCAACTGATCGGGAAATGTCATGCGTAATTGAGTTGAATATGCATTCTCACCTAAATTCCCAACAAATACAGTAATATTTCTTTGAGTAACACGTTCTCTGAAATAAATTATCGATTTATCAGTTGGACCTTCTGAAACATCTATTATTTGTACTTGTAAATCAGGTCGACAAATATTATCTATTCCACAGGCTGGATTTGCAAATTGCATTGAACGACTGAGAAAATATTGACTACCTAAGAAAGGATGTAATGTCCATGACGATAATGCTTTGTGCTCAACAAAAGACATTTGATCAAGTACTGAACTTAATGTTACATTGATACGTAGAGGTTTCCATAAAAGTGGATTGACTTTAGATGATATTGGTTCAACAATAAAATCAAATAAAACTATTCGATAACTACCATCTTCTTGAAATTCATTTGCTTTCAAATCCACTAGAGTATCAATAACACCTGTAGATGTTGAATGGTCAGACATTTGTCTTCGAAATGATCGTATTGTGAGACGTTTATCATCAGGATGTTCAACATCTGAATCTAAATCGATAATTAATCGTAGTTGCCAATCTTTTATTTGCTTTAAAAGTTGTTGATTACCATTGATTTTGACAGATAGCTGAATTGGAAAGGTACACTCATGATCACAAGTTAAACTATCTGTACTTAGCCATGATAATGTAGGTTGTGTAGGCAGTTCCCATTCAGGTGTATCAAACCATAAAGTATTACGTGCACGAAGCATCACAACCTATGTAAGATTTAAGCAAACAAAAAAAAAATCTCTCAGATAATTAAACTGAATATATGAATATATACGGAAAAGATTGAAAAGGCTATCAGGAAAAGTATCCCTTGAATTTCATTACTTTCACCAAGTGACATTTAGGAGCCATCTACTTTAAGACTGATAAACATTTATGTTCAATTTAGACATATGTGGGGATTTATTTTATTGATCTCAAGTTAGTATTCATCAAGGACTGATGTCATTTGGAGAACCACTGTACAGCTGTTTTGTCCTAGTATGCGATTGTCTAGCAGTACGCCGGTGACCGAATCCAGAATCTTCAGGTTTCGTGGCCTACACTTTGTCTTTGAGCTACTGAATCGAAATCTGATAATCTAATGTTCCCATTGCTCCCAGTTCATGATACATCACGACCTCAATTCATTGGAGTCTCTGAGTAACTGCCTCACTGGTCACTACTTCTCACTACTCATCATCATCTCATCACTTATCTGATGACGGTCTATCATCGTTTTTTACTACACATCCATCCAAGCAGTGAAACTTTTCTTGATATGTCTTTTTATTTCATTATATTACTTGCGTGCTGTAAATGAATACATGAAACTCTAATACCCATCAACCGGCAATTTGAAGATATATTTCACTGCATAATGACATCCCCTGAATAGCCATTACATCATGTTTGATACGCTCACTTTCTCCAAACCTAAGTATATCGTATTTGATATTACATATGTGCAAAACTGCTCTCATCCACCTGAATTTTCGATGTAGGAAATATTGACAAATTTCTGAGGAAATATAATTCCCAGTTGACAGTTTTTCTAAGCGTCGTTGACCAAAGCGTATAAAGTTATTAAAAAAAAGAAGCATAAGATTATGGGTAGTTTCTTTAATTAGGATTTCGTATTGTGTAGCTTGATGCCTAATGACATGTTTACCACTAATCCCTTTTTCTATACCTTAAGGTGAAGTCTTTCCTACATCACGGTGAAGCATAAGTTTGAAAAACACTGAAAGTAATCATAGAACTTTACAGTGGTGACTAATTGAGTACCTTAAACGCCTAAATCGTTATATCCATGAAGGCAATACTTCCTTTTCTTCTGAGGATGATATTTTTCAAGAATCCACAGCTACGAGTATCACGCAGTTCAATTGAGCTGTTGGAAAACGACTCAGCTGTAAGAAATATCAGTGTTGACCGTACAATCTGTAAATCATTTGCAAACTGATCATCTTATTTTAGGTGTACTGGTCCATCCAAGTTACCTATCCAGATTCAGGTAGTCTGAACTAATTCGGCTCTGAGAGAGGAATTTCTTCGGGTATACAGCTGATGCGCTTGTCCCTAAACGAGAGAAACAGCTGTCAGGTGTTTAGATCACTGTTACCTGGCTGCGGAAAACTACAAATCAGCCACAGTGGTCTCCAACAACTCAAGTTGTTCAGCAGTAGTGTCTTTCGCTAGTGTCAACCCTTGGCTTATAAGGCTTCCTATATGATCCCAAATATATACATATATACAAGGTGCATATCAAGTATGGGGAAACTTCACATATCCATTATTATCATTATTACTATTATTATTATTTTTCCTTGTCTTGATTTACCCTTCCTGGCTTTGACGTCCTCGTCTGTGCTACCTGTAGTTGAAACGGTGCTGCCTAGATAGGTGAAAGAGGTTACTTCCTTTAAGTTTTTCCCGTTCATCATGGTTCTAGCTGGTTGGTGGTGGTGGTGGTGGCGTTGGTTGGGTATCGTCATCACCTCTGTCTCCTTCACATCCAATTGAAGTCTCATCTTCGCTGCCTCGACTCTTCTGTCAACTTCTCGGTTTTTGCCTATAGATCTTCAAGTTTCTACAACAAGACATTAGACACAAATCATCATCGACGAAATCCAAATCTTCTAGAATCTTTTCCCCAGTCCAGCACATCCACCTCTTCTCCCTCATCACAGTTTGTTGCATGACTCAGTCCAGTCGACCACAATCAGGAAGATCATGGATGATAGTAGACAGCCTTGTCTTACTCCTGTCCCTTGTCTTCACTTCAAAAGCATCACTGAGCTTCCCATTGTGAATTACTTGGCATGTGACGTCTTCATGTAGTTGTTGGATGAGGTTGATAAAGGCTTGTGTTAAACTGAAACCGTAGTGTTGAAGCAGCAGTTTCCAGATTACTTGTCGATTGACGTTGTCGAAGGCTTTTTCAAAGTCGATGAAGTTGAGGTAGAGAGTTGACTGCCATTCATATATGATGGATGAAAAAAGCAGATTAATAAGATGAGGTCGTTGAAGAAAGATTAACTTAAGGGTGGACATAGTAAGAGTAACTTAAGTGTCGGAAGCTGGGGTCAATAAGCAGGGAACACCATATTGCGACATCACTAAACATAGTAGCCGTGTTGCAAAACTTGACTGATAAACTTGGTTCAGTGGTGGACACTAAAGAGTATACACTTACACACATTACGTAATAATGATCACTTTGTACGTATAGTAGGAGCAATTAAAAATAAAACGTCCCAATAAGTGTTAAAAAATGTATGCACTTACTTACAACAAGTTTATAATTAATTAGTCTATCACGCAGCAAATAAATAAACAAAACTTTCATATACATATGAATAACAGAGCGTGTAAGCAAGCTACTGAGTAGTACTATGTGGTTAATATTTGACCACTGAATCTCTTTCAACTTAACATCATCCGGAAAAGAATTGAAATTTTGAAAGAAAATGGTTATATAACTGTTCTATATGGTATCGGGAGCTCTGAACAGTACAGATGGATGATCCTTCGATTTAGAGTGAAGTCAGTGCTGATGACGTTGTCTGGAACGATACTGAAGGTTTCATGATTAAACCATCCAGTTCACAGAACGAAATACAACCAACATCATCCACCTGAGCTACAAATATCTTTTATCGTATCAGAAATTTTTATTTGAACACTAAGTTGTATCAGTTGAATAGCTAACTGCTTGTACAACTGCTTACGTCTCTTCACTCCTAAACATATCCATCAATATTGTACGTCTTTCGAATCAGTTAAGTGGTTTTCGTTACCAATGAATTTAGGGGAGTTATACTTTATTGGCCTTTCAGTTTCTGTTATACGTTTTCCGGAAACTATTAAGCTAGTTTCTATCTTATGAATATCACCGTATGACATCTCCAATGCAAACTACCCTGTTCCTTATTCCCATAACACAAGTACGATATCGGCGCGAATACAACTAGTCTATGCGCTCAACTTCCACTCATTTCGTTGCAGAATCGCTTTTCCTATCTCAGATTACACAACCAAATAGTTTAGTTCATCTCTTACACGACAAATATGTCTCATATCTACGTATACATGGGTGCTAAACCGGGTTTTATTACAAATCAATGACTGAGTAATCATAAAATGTCCTAATTCAGTGCATACAGATGATTACTGAAATCTTATTTTAACCAATGCTTAACAATGGTTTTTCGCTTATAATAGTTTCCATGAATATCCAGAATGTGTTCACTCGGAAATCAAAATTTACTCAGTTGCCTTACAAAATATTTGCAACAGCAGCGAACCACCCGAATTGAGTGACAACTAATGATACTACCTCGCTGACTACAATTCAGCAGTTGGAGTGGGCTTCAGTACTATGACCCATAATAACTGAGAGTCGAGTGTGTAGATGGCTGAGGAAGCCCTCCGATAAGACAAAGTATTGCAACTTCAAGGTTTTTATGACTTAGTGAGTTCAAGTTGGTATTCATCATGGATTGATATCAGTTGGAGAACCATAGGAAACATGATCAGCTTTTTCGCTCTGTCACACAACTTCCCAACAGCGCTCACCCACAACCAAACTAAACGTTGGACCCAGGAGCCTTACCTTCTGCGGTCGGGTATCTGTCCCGAAGTTATTATGAGAAGCCGCGACCAGTTGAATGTGAGAACAGGTAATCAACGACGGCATCGGTTGAGGGTCATAACATATAACTAACTGACAGAAGGAGACCACCGTGGTTAAATATTTTAGTTAACCGAGTTTTTGGTGAATTTATCCACTTTCTTCAATTTCCTATTATTACTGTTTTTAAAACACATTTTTAGCCAGTATACAGAATAAAACTGTATTCATTACAGAAACCTGCATTTACATTCTGAAGTAATTGCATTAAAAAAAATTAGTCCACTATAATTAATTCCTTATTATTTAGGTGTTGAATGCTAGAAGTTACTCCATAGAGTATACCTTGTATAAGTTTTGTGCTTGTCAGTACTTATTAGCAACTCATATGCAAAGTGATGAGGTCACTTGTTTATCTACAGCGATCCAGATCTTTGTAAGAAGCTTCACTACTAAGTTACTCAAGTCTCAAACAATCCTCTTCAGGATTGAAATGTTTATAAGAATCTGTGATCAGTGGGTTGCCAGTGTAGTTCCGAGTACTCGAACAGATGGAATTTCATCTACCAACTTTTCTTGAATCTATTTTAATTCGACTCAGTGATAAAAAACACTCCACTAAATAAGCTATCACATTCTGCTGAAGATCCTGAGTTTTTATACTGTATCACAGCGAATATTCTTGTTTGTTTTCTTTCTTTGTATGGTATACAAAATGAACTAGCATAATTGAACGGAAAGGTACTTATTTCTGGATATGATTAGGTGAAAATGGTGTATTTACCTCTGAATTAATGAGAATCTTAGCAGAACTGGGTATTTTCATCTGTTCGACTTCCTGTTTGATAGGCAATATTTTCGGCATCCACAGAATATTCAATAGGGAAAGTATTTTTGATGTGATACATTCATATTTTAACTCAGTTTATTACCACCTTTTTTCCAGACATGGTTTTCCCCCGTCCTAATTAATAACTAAACAAGACTACTATTAAGGAATAGCTCACTGTATATTTTTTGTTACTTGGTACATAAAAATCATTTAACTTTTTGTAGATTTTACAGCCTTTCTGCTAAAATCAACCTTCTGTCTTCCCTGTCTGTCTCTTTGGTGTATAATCTAATAGCTGGTCTATGAAACCATATCAGTCACTTTTGGTTGCTTAGCTTTATGATTACTATTTACAAACAGAATTACTCACCACTACTACCTGACAACATTCAGGAGAATCCGATTGTGATGTAGTAGATGAAACTGAATATGACCAGAGTTATAAAACATTTTTGTCTCACTATATACCAATGACCGAGACCATGAGTGACAGAATTAACTCATGCATAATTACAGAGATAATAAAATTAACCCTGCTAACTAAACGGGAAGCATTACTACGACGTCTCGCATTCATGTTTGAAATGATATCAGTATTGGCGGTATCAGAATTATTTTGAACCGAACAACTAATTTATCATCTCTTACTAATCTGAAAACGATGGCTTAACTGAAGTGAAAGTTATTGGTATTCACAGTTAAAGCTCTTCATATTCTTATAAGTTATGTATATCACATAAGCAAGGTAATAGTCGAAAGCTATGACATAGTAATCAGGGGAAGACTAAACGCATGGCTGGAATTTAACGCCATAGTCCTATAATGTTCTGATTTAAGCCAGCATCCCTAAATACGAGGAGTTAGTACAGAAAAAGAACAGCAGTGAAACTGAGGTGTTAAAACAATATGAACACTTGATTTCTATTGATAGTGAGCTCCTGGTTTGGTTCGTAACCTCTGAGTCAGCCAGTTACAGTCGGTTTCTGCTTCCTAACTGAATTTATAATCACCAAAGAGGATGAAGATAACAGAAGGTTTTTAATCCATTAGGTATGATTATCATAGTAGAAAAATTTCACACTCAGTCAACTCAAATTTCTACTACTTTAACTGAATTGCTGTTGTTAGTGCATTAAAAAGAAATCTTGCACTTCTGAGGCTCGTCAGTTAGGTGTATCTTCAACCTCAGGTCAACTGGTTTCCCCCTCAGGAATTTAAACATATTACATAGTGCTGCGGTCAACCACCTTACCATTAAACCCTTCAGGCTACAAATGAACTTCTCTAATGCTGGAACTGATACACTGAATATTGAATGGATGATGACCACATTACAAAATGATTAATATTACCCAGACTAGACGACGTGAAATTGTATACTCAGTAGGGCTCAACAAATCCAGAAACAATTTTGTCTTTAAGCTGGTGCCAATATAATGTTTCTAGGAAGACTATCAAACATTTACTGACCAAAAGTTGCGAACAAAAGACAAAATAAGCAACTAAACCATCGATTATCTAGTATAAATAGGCCAAAGCCGGCGTAAAATATCACAGAATCGAATGATACATGTGATATGGTAAATAAGACTTTTATTCTTGCATAACACAATCAATGCAAAGAACTACTACACCGTAGCTTGACATTTTCACATGTTTTGACGTCTACCATACATATATACATATATATGTTGGTATTTTTAGTATGAAGTATCATATCTTGAAACCATTTAGTTAATTGATTCACTGTAACTCTCTGAGTGACTGAAATATGTAGATAGTCACTGAAAACTAGTTCAAAAGAGATAAATTCATGGTCAAGATAAACAGTACTACGAGGTTCGGGCGTTACGATGACATTTTGAAAGATGAATGAAACTACTTTTTTTCCCACTAGTATATCCTAAGCGGATCAGAGTGACAGCTTTGAACTGAAATTTCGCCTAAATCATCTCTCATGATCATCTTCAATAGGTAATGGTACTGAATACTCTACTTTATCCGTGATGTCTTTCAACAGAATCGATCATCCACTTATCATCTATATATTTCAAAGTTTTATTTTGATTATTATCCTTATTAAGTGATTGAAATCAACATATTGGGATTATTTATTCAACTGAACAAACATTGCTTGGATAGTGTGGAACTCTTCAACCAGGGATCGAACCAAGCGAGCAAGTTACCATTCAGTCACTAGGTTGGAGTTCAGCATTTCACGTTTTCTCACTTCTATCAACTCGCGATAGAACAGGAGGATTATTCATTCAATGCTCCTCGAAATGATGACAGTTCATGATGAGTACAACGTTGAAATCAATCAATTTCCATAAACCTTCAAAATAAACATCATTTAGTCAACATTTTCATATTTTAAACCTCTGAATCTAAGCGTGGACTTACTTTTCACTGACAGAAAGCGTGAAATGATGGCAACAATGGCACTGATGAGTCAACGCGCTGATCAAACAATGATCTCATTCTTTGCTGGAGCTCAAAAAGACCATATATTAACAATGTAAATCACCCTGTACCTCAATGACAGTTAGATTATTTATTTGCCAGTTCTGGTTACATATAATGCAACTAAAATTACTGATGACAATGCTAGTAACAATAAATTTGGTTACTTTGAGCAAGTCTTAGTCGCTGACGAAATCTTTGTGAGCATAGTCATCGGTTCCTCAATAAATTATTCTAGTGAATGATATCAGTAAACAGCAACCACAAGCAGTTGGTTGCTGCTCAAGTTTTCTGAAGAACTAATTGCAGAAGAGTGATAAATGTAAAGTCAACAACTTCATGACTAACTGAATGTCTGATGATAGTTGATCATTTCTATATCCCTTGATAACTTGTTATTGGCTGCCATGAAGAAACCACAAAGTAGAGTGAAACAATAGTCCAGAACTTCTCAGTTTTGAATGGTTCACTAGATAACTCTGATGTATATTAGAAAGTACCTTCGTTTCATCTGACTAGCAAAGCATCATAAAAGTATGTAAGAAAAAACACATACCTGATCACTTTCATAATCACCAATCACAAGATCAGGTGCATTGTTTCCATCCAGATCTGAGGAACCAGATAAACTCCATCCAAATGCAGTAAATACACGAGGAATTCAGATGAATAATCACTAGTGAAATCAATATTACCGCAAACTGTTACCGGAGATACTTTAGGAATATCAGCAGGCCATATACTCTGAAATGAAGTCAAGAAATAAGTATTTTTTTTAAGGAGATTGTTTAAAAGTCATTTCACAAGTTTACTGAACTACCAAGATTTCCTGATGAAGGAAGAACGGTGTATTTAAAGCTTCTCCCGTTCATCATGATTCGAGCTGGTTGGTGGTGGTGGTGGTGGCGTTGGTTGGGTATCATCACCACCTCTGTCTCCTTCACATCCAATTGAAGTCTCATCTTCGCTGCCTCGACTCTTCTGTCAACTTCTCGGTTTTTGCCTATAGATCTTCAAGTTTCTACAACAAGACATTAGACACAAATCATCATCGACGAAATCCAAATCTTCTAGAATCTTTTCCCCAGTCCAGCACATCCACCTCTTCTCCCTCATCACAGTTTGTTGCATGACTCACTCCAGTCGACCACATTCAGGAAGATCATGGATGATAGTAGACAGCCTTATCTTACTCCTGTCCCTTGTCTTCACTTCAAAAGCACCACTGAGCTTCCCATTGTGAATTACTTGGCATGTGGCGTCTTCATGTAGTTGTTGGATGAGGTTGATAAAGGCTTGTGTTAAACTGAACCGTAGTGTTGAAGCAGCAGTTTCCAGATTACTTGTCGATTGACGTTGTCGAAGGCTTTTTCAAAGTCGATGAAGTTGAGGTTGAGTTGGGTTGACTATCATTCTATGCTGTGTTCTATGATGATGCGTATCGTAGCGTTGCAATTTGATGCGCAAATGATTTGTACTTCCTGAATCCAGCCAGCCTGTTCTAGTAGTAGTTTTGAATCCAGAGCATCCTTTAGTCTCTCGAAGAAGATGCGGCTTAATATTTTGTGAGCACATTAGCAGAGTATAATTATATGATTATGAGCAATATATTCTATTAAAGAGGTCATCCAGTTAATAATACTGTCTAACTTATGGTATGCCTTAGCGAATAGACTCACCCAAAATGGAATGAAAGTATGTCATAATAAAGGTTAGAAGATTTAAGGTGGTGGTTATTCATTGAAATCTTTCACCACAAACCAAGGAAAATCGTGGTGTTAAATAGCACTCTTTAAATCGATGAAGATCTCATATTCGACCTTGATATTTACTCCAGATGTACACTTAGAAAATGTGTCAGACGCCTATATATTCATAACAGTGGTATACTTCAAGTATGTTCATGAATTATTTATAGTATTTGTTCAGATTTATCATTTCTTCATATTCTCAACCTTTTCTTCAATAGAAAGCTTATGACTGAGAGCATTTATTTATGTATTCTGAACACAAAGGATATGCAAGGGCTTTCTTTATTCCCATTTGAAATGCTCTCCTACATAGATACTGGTCGGAATAAACATAACTGTCTTTCTTAGTATATAAGAAGTTGGACCATAATGATATTTGGCACACGAAGTTACAAACCTATGTACCATCCTTTCTGGTACTCATCATCTGTAGCCATGAGGAAACTTATGTTCTTTGGATGATTCAAAACTGTATAACTCAATACTTAAGTAAGAGACTTAACCAATAAGCCATTCTTGCCACGGATACTCTTGTACAATACGGATTTTTAAACAAATAGGTTATCACAGAGGGATCGAAATAACTATGGATTCTTTGGTGCTCACCACTGAACATTAGTTTACTTTTGGTTGCAGACAGTCCCTGTTCATGATTGCTATGAAGCATGAAACGACTTCCTTCAGGTAGCCTCTGAAATACACTACACCGCTATGTTACATAATTGAGTTTGATGATCACTTGAAAAACCTGATCTACAGATTTAGATCAGTATTAAACGCCGAGAACTGGACAGCTCTGTTAGCTAAACAGTACTTGTCAGCGAAATTATTATATTTTAGCCTCGAAGTCGTAGATCAAATTCCTTTCAGGAGAATTTGTATCTCTAACCTATCACTATTGATGAATGATGTTAAATGCGAGTATAGAAACCAGCGACAGTTCGAACCTATTGATAATCATTGTATTAAAACAAATAGTTAAGTATTGGTGCAACTTTAGATTTTGACAAGTGGAGGGTTGTTAACATTACTACACTTGAAGCTATTCCAACCAAATGTTTTACTTAGTTGGATAATATGCAGAACCTTAACGTCAGTTTTTGCATATCAGTAATACCCATATCTCCGCCCTAGTAGCTCAGTGGTAAAGTTGCTGACTACAACACTCGCTGATGCGGGTTCGGTACATCAGTTCCGTCGAGGTGTCAAATACGCCTTGCTGACAAGTGTCAACAAGCATGAAACCTAGGTTGAGCAGGGCCTCTTGCCGACTGCCTCTAACCAACTAACGTCTACATTAATTCCTAATTAATTCATATTAGCAATATAATTAAAGTTGAGTTTTGAATAAAAATTATAATTTATTTTAAAATAATCACCATAGAGCAAATCGTGATGCATTTTATTCAATCATTATAAAAGGAGTAGTGATTCATAGCAGTTAAATGATTAAATGTGCGACATTAGACTGAACTATTTTCACTCTAAGATTAGTCAAATGATAAACGAGTAAATCTTTACCTGGATACCAAAAAAAATCTTTTTGGTTACATTATTTACTTCATTGTCATTGAGTTTCATACTTTGCTATAATCTCTATCCATGCCTGTTTTGTAGAGTGTTTCGTTTCTGTGAAATTAGCATTTACTGTTTAGAATTTCATTAGTTTGACTTGACTATGTAAACAATGAAAACAATTACTGCCTTCAATGTTTCTTCAGAGTGTTATCTTGTAGCCGGTGGTATCTACTGAATGAGAATCTTAGCCTTTATCAGCACGCATTGATATCATTTTGGTTAAAAAGTGAAGTATTCTAAGGAGTAGAAGGGTGGTAACTCCAAAGTTGAGGCTTTTTATCATTAGCTGAAGTCAGAAGTATTCAAAATTTATGGTAAATATGGTATGATATTCTACTTATTGTAAGGGAATAAACTGATGAGTTTTGCTGAAACAGCACTCGTTGAATGGATGTCTTATTAGATCATTGAATCCTACTATGTTGTTAATTTACCTGATTGTAGCTCGTGCTGGAGTCTATGGCTGTCGTTTCCATCTGGTTTAGACTGAGGGAAGGCACAAATGATGCAAACGCAAATTTACCCGGCTTTAAAAGTCTAAATAAGAAGAAATCGACCTCTTTATTTTCCGGTTAGCTATTATCTAACACATAACAGTGATCATGCTTTGTTTAAACTTGTCAGTTCAAACACAATTATATGTATCTGTCGGTGGTTTATAGAGAAGTTGGTCGATGACTATAATATATAGTGAAATGACAAAAGTTTGATTTTAACCGACGGACTGAATGATGACGTGCTCTAGGCGAAACGTGATCACCCTCGATTAGATCCAACAGTTTGATGGGTGTATAGTGTTATTGTGGTCCAAAATAAGACGAAAGAGCTGTCTAATGCTCCTAAGTATTCAATATTTCTCTGTCTGTAACTATCGGTGACGAAGACCTTTTTAAAGCCTCTCTGTTGGTTAATTTACTGTTTATAGAAATGATTTAAGGCAACCACAATCATCAAAGGTTTTGAGACTAGGACAATAAAAGTTTCATCAATATGACATAGCTTACTTAGTTGAGTTTACGTATGAGAATTCATTACCTTAGTAGTTCTGTTATAAAGATGGCTACTTCTAGGGTGAAATAAACGTAATAAACGTACAGATTCATTAACATATTACTTATCATCAACGGCTCCACGACAATGTTGCAGAAAAAATTAATTAATTTTGTTAGAAGCTGTAGGTTTTATGGAGAGATTGTATGAGAGCAAAACCTGATGAATTCAGTCTATTTTCTATTATCTGAAATAACTTGAATTGACAGATCCTACCTGCTGATCATGTCCTTTACACTCTGAATCCCTAACTGTCCCAATGGCTTTATTCTTTATTCTAAGTTTTTATTGTGTCACTTCACTCACTCCCTTGCTAGTGTCAATATCATTCTCCTTGCCCCTCTTTCTTCCGTCTTCTTGGTGATTGCTGAATATCTTGACATCAGTTGTGTCAAATTAAAGTGATCAGTAACTGAACCAGACATTCCATTGAATTTCTGTTGAATTAAGTGACTGATCGTAGTATCCACAGGATTTCAGGGCATCACTGCACTTGCCGACCATCGGAATATATAGACCGAACAATGAAAAGTAAGATGCCAATTACTTTATTGCTTAAGTGTTCTCGAGGCCCCAAATATCTATTTCGTTCATTCTCGTCACATATTATTAGTGGGATCAATACTTCACTTTTTCTACTAAACAGAAAGTCAGTATCCACCTGTTATTTTGTTACAATACCAATGACAGTCAGTTTATCAGGTGGAGCTGACGGTCCTATCAGGAAAACTAACCTCCATTTGGGCACTGTTGCGTTATTACATGAGATTACTATGAACGTACATCTTTTTATAGCTTGAAGTCTACTCAAATAGACAAAATAACAATTACGTCTACCTTTTCAAACCAAAACTTAAAAATACTTTTGGAAAATTCTTTCGTAAAATACTAAAAAATTTACAGATTTCACTGATAAAATAACCTCAAGTCAAATTTCAATCCTGAAGTTTACTTAAAAAATAGATTACCTGAAATGGTTCTGTATCCAGGATCAAATCTTTCTTGCCTAAGTAAATGAACACAACTCCCCTGTCAACTTCACCATTAGGATCAGAGCAATATGGACAACTGATAGCTAGATCTTCGCTGCCATCACTGTCAACATCACCAATGTTTGAAATAGCATGACCAAATCGACCTTTAGGAGACTTTGGTCCTTCTAAGATAACTGGATCTCGACTGAAATAATCTGGAATATCAGATCTTAACTTAGATTCACCTAATGAAGTTGAAGAGTTTGAATAGGCGCCATAAAATATGTAAACTCTTCCAATGTCCGGTAACAAATTCGACCACTGAGTACCTTGATTTTGATCATATCCAACTGTGTTAATAGACTCTTGCATTGTTTCTTGATTTTGGTGTCTAGTGAAGTAGGGTGCACCGACGATTATATCACCCAAACCATTTCCATCAAGATCGGCAACTGCAAGGCTAAAAATGTCAGTGAAAAAATTGGAAAAAATATGACGGTGACTGGTGATAATGCATGAAATCAAGATGATCAGTTGAAACGCAGCGGAAAAAACTGCCATTTATCTGAAGTAACTTAGAAACTCAAAGCAATGGGTTTCTACACACTGGCAAAATGCTGTGACTTGGTGTTTTAGTATTTCGTCAGAAAACCAAGCTGCTTATTGTTTGAAAATCACGAACTGCGGTAAAACAGTTGTTTTTCGTCTTCGGAATACCCAAGAATGGTATTAAAAGTTTCACAAGACTTCATATCGTTTCTAGACTGAAGAAATTACCAAGGGAACATCGTGAAATGCAGAAGCAGTGGTAAAGATATATCAAGGAAGCTGTTAGTGGATGCTTAGATTACTGATATACAATCGTTAGCCCATACATCTTAAAAGTAGGCACCGGTACCCTTCTGGACAGTACTAGTTGACCCAACTCAGCACCAACTGTGCATATCCGATTATCGCATTCATCTAACATTTTCTTAGCATTTATGTATAAATGTTTCAAGGTGAATACGATGCCGTAGTTGCCTAAACTTTTCGATTGTTTGTTGTTTGTATTTCGGAATGTACGAACTATCTTCGTCGGAGCGATAACGCAAAAGAATCGATTATAATTGACTTAGGAGGGAGAGGTAAATAGATGAGCCAATGATTAAGTTACATATATGCGAGTAATCTGATCGCATTCAGTCTTAGCTTCTTTCATGAAAGGTTACCGATGCAAGATAGATGGAACCGAAAGAATATGTCGAAAGTTTTATTTACAATGATAACATAATGGGCAAAGATGGTTGTCAGGCACTTACTTTCCAGAATAAACAAAAGACAATCAGCTTTCTCAGACTATTCAAAAGCTTCAAGTTAGTGATGATTGAAAGCATAATTTGAAACGTCATTCTGCGGGAATGAAAACCAGACGCTATCGAAGTAACGGCTTGCTATTCGAACATCGGAACTACTCTAGCCAGCTAATAAGCAGGTATTAACTTTGCATTCATCATTGCTGGTTTTTATAGATATGTCCTGTGAATGCGTGATACGTAGTTGTCCGTTCAGTGTATTCATACTAGCTGCTCATTTGAGTCTTCTGGTCCCGACTGAGGTGAAGGAGTGTTGTATAGATCACTAATTAAACTGTTTGAAATAGCCATGTTTCTGTAGCCTGACATTACTCATACTTGGTGATTATTTAGACTGATCTGTAAAATAAGCTTGTTATAGGGCCGGTAATATGGTGACCACTGGTTTGAATTCTACCACAACCTGAATTTTCATTTTACCTTCAATCATTCTCCTACATTGATAATGTCAATCTATCGAATAAAGGCGTTGTTAGAAAGTCTGGTTAATATATGAAGTTAGTTCGTTTGATTGTTTGCTGTACGAAGCATCTATAAATCCCAATACAAAACATTTATATGGTGCATTGTAGACATCAGTAATACTTGTAAGATTTATGTGTTAATACAAAGTCCTGCATCATTTATAGTCTTTGTTTATATATCCAGTGAGATGTTTCCCACTAAGTAAGTGGTTTTGACAAGAATTTAGAAATTTTAAAAAACTGTGGTCACTGAGATTATGTTTATTCAGTGATCTAGATGGAACTTTACTTCATAGAACGAAATTCTCCTTTAAAATGGAAATCATTGAAGATTTTCATTTAGATATTCAGAAAAAAGATTAACTGAGCGAAGAAATATAATCCTCTTCAATTAGGTCTTCGTCTTGGGCTCTACACTAACATACAGTTTTACAATTCATTCAAAATACCAGTCAAGTGGTGGGGGGGGGGTTGATCAGTCTTAGTACCAAGATGTAAATAATCTATAGGGACATTAAAATTGGTAATATAAATCAGGTTATACTTAGGTAAATGGAGTGATTTTTGATGAGTGTTCAGTCATAAACGGTAGATTAGTACGTAATGATAAAACAAATGATAATTGATTGAAACAAGATAGGGAAGAGGTATACAAAGTAATGCTAAAAGTTAGATCATGTTCATGGCAGCAGCAATGAAAGTGGCTGGACAGATTTCTTTTGAATACAAAGGTTAGGTTTATAAAGGTGGATTACAATCGCTTCTGCTAACGTGAAGTAAGCGAATGTGTAATCCATGTAGTAAATTAATTGGTATACGATGAATGATTCTGGATGTTTTTCTAGTATCCACTTGCTGTCGAGTGTCAACTAAGTGTGTAAGTATGGAGCTCTTTATTGTTCTAATTTGTGCGTTTATCTGTCCAACTGTTCCCATGGAGCTAGTTACATTGGGCGTACAATGAGACAGGTCTATCGTCGAATTTTTGAGCACCACCCATTATGATTGAGCAAGGGACAAGTTAGAACAATAAAGGGCTCCATACTTTCAAACTTAGTTGACAATGGACATCAAGTGGACAAAATTATTCATTACATTCTAATTAATTTACCACACGGATTACGCACTTGTTTATTTCACATTAGCAGAGGTGATTGCAATCCGCCTTTACAAATCTAACCTTTGTGTTCAAAAAGAAATTTCTTCCACCACTTTCATTCACATGGCAATGAATAGTTGTTGAAAATAAACCTTACGAATTTTTCAATGACGAAAGAAAACTATCAGTATTCCTTATTTACAATCGATTTGATAAGTTAGTCACTGATTGCAAGTCTAAGGAGTAATAATTATTCATTGCTGCCACTACACTGAACGACTTGACATCATAGCACCTACTGTCAAAACGAAGTATAATGATTTATGTTGACCACACGATAGATCCAAATCATTAGATATCGATCAAAATCTAAGATCAGAGGGTAGTGCTGACTTCAATCGAATAAACTACCAACGAAATATCAACATTTATGTTTTTAACTCTTGTTGTAAACTTGTTTCAGGATAGTTGTTTCTAAATGACTTCTCTTCACTTGAGGTTGGTTGAAGTAATTAAAAACGAACATGGTGAATTCAAGTTGCAATGGACAGACATCAGAGCCATCTGAGTCGTTCTGAAATTGGATTAGTATATATCATCCACATGAAACTTCATTGTCAGGCATAACCAACAGTTAACTTCACTTATCCACTTGTCTACAGAGTTTGACGTATAGGAGTAATGAGAAAATGTAAGGTCTAGACTAATCTATACCAATGCGTACACATATGTTATCACTTAGTATAATGATTAATTAACCCGTCTGAATTCATGCTAGACATTTAATGAAGAAAGTAGTAAAATAAGAAAAAGTATGAATAAAACTTCTTTGAGTATCTATCTGCATATGTGTGTTCATTTGTGTCTATACAGAATATATTTATAGAGACTAATTATGTCAGGTAAGTTCTTAATAAGTGATATCGGAGTTCTAAATTGTTTATCTAAATTCACTAAGGATCTGAAGAACTTTTGAAAGGTGAAGAATAAAACTAACTATTTTATTAGATAACCTCTCCTCCTAGTTCACCAGATACTAGCTGGTCCTAAGCCTGGATAAAGAGGGAAGCTTGGGCATAAGGGCTATCAACCCCACCCCGGAAAACCAATCCAACCACTACAGAAACTTCAAAGCACAAAGAAAATATAAAAACAAAAATAAACTTATTCCTCGTTGGAATTGGAGAGAAAAAATGACGCCAGTTGGTCAAAGCCTTCGTGAAGCCAATTGGTTGATATGTCTTCTCTCGATGAAAGCGAAAGTAAGAATGGGGACATGGAATGTCCCCACTATGTTTGAATCAAAACGAGTATCAATTACCATCAACGGGAGAAGCCTAAAGGAAGTAGTCTCTTTCACCTACCAAGGCAGCATCCTCTCAACTACAGGTGGCACAGATGAAGACGTCAAAGCTAAGATCGGAAAAGTAAGACAGACCTTCATTAGGCTGAAATCAGTCTAGTCAGTGCCTCTATACGATGGTTGAGATACTTGGCGCGTTACGAAAAGCATTCCCAACAAACTACAGATATTCATCAGCAGCTGCCGCCCACGCTCACTCGATACTGAAGTTGGAAATCAGATGAACAGAATAATAAGAATAAGCAAGGAGGAACTGTAGCTGGCTGGCAACGAACTAACTGACCAACAGCCTATCGCCCAAAAAATATATGGAAGAAAGTGGAGATCGTCTAGATTGGAATGGACATACACTGAGAAGACCATTCGGGAACATCACACGCAAGTCTCTCGGGTGGAATCCTAAAGGGAAATGACGAGCTGGGCGTTCGAGGTTAACATGGAGAAGATCATGTGAGGAAGAAATGAAAGCTTCTTAGCAGTCGTAAAGTCAGGTTGAGAAGACTGCAGAGAATAGAGTGAAATGAGGACGTATTACTGAAGCCCTATATTCCACTAGGAACCCAAGGAATAAATAACAAAAATAATAAAAAGTTTATTAGATGTTAGTTGGTTAGAGACATTCGTGTTTGTTGGCACTCGTCAGAAAGGCGTATTCGAAACCTTGACGAAACTGATGTCCTGCCTGAGGTTCGAACCGGTGTCAGCCACTGCTGTAGTCAGCAACTTTACCATCGAGCTATTAGGGCTGAGATCGACCTCCTGTTACACTTGTTGACTGGTCATGGGAGAGAAACAAATTTCGTGCTGTCTAGTCTATTGTTATTTGTAATGATAGGTAAGTTTGCAACAGAGGTGTTTAGATATTGTAGTAGTAACGACTTTTTGATGAGCCTCTTAGCTTGGTGACCGCATTGTAAAGTGATCGATAGAATTTTGTCAGCGCATAGGACTAGACAACTTGAGATTAATTACTCTTCAGTAACCGATTAATTTACTTCCTGTTCAAGCTACTAGCGCCTAAGTGATTACATTTTCCTTTCAGATAGTATTTCGCTGGAAAACATTTTCGATTCCAGTCTACAGTATAATTATCAATGATGTTTCATACAGAATAAGATTTAATGTTTTCTTTATAATGACTTATAGAGATGAGAAAGGATCAGTTCAACCATTTTGAGC